CAGAGCCCGACGCGGGGCTTGAACTCACGGACCGCGAGATCGTGACCTGGCTGAAGTCGGACGCTTAACCGACTGCGCCACCCAGGCGCCCCATACACCGAGCCTTTTAAAGAACACCTTTTTCTGGGTGCACTTATAACATCCTTCATTTCCCTAGGATGGCGGGCTAATTTGAGCTCTTCTTCTTACATGCTCAAGATCAATGGGAAATTGAAAGTCTGTAGCCAGTGGCCAACTCAGCTGTGTTTTTTGTCCACCCTTGCTGCTGACCATGCATCACATGATAATGTAATAAGCCAGCACCGCCCAGAAACTGCTAACCTGGTACAAAAAGAAAGCTACTGAATGCTTAAGAAAGGTAAACATTTTTAAAAAGTTACTAGATGTGCGACAACTGTAAAATACTGAAAAGAGGAAACCACAAAAATCTAAAAATAGCTCATCTTCGGATTGCTTCAGGATTGTCTTTCAATTCTCTCCTAGGTGATGGGGTTCATCCAAGGAAAACAACAAAAGAACCCTAACCAAGGGGATCCGCAACAAGAAAAAACTTTGGTCTTTCATCAAAAGACAAGCAAGTGAACGCAGAAGTGGCAAGTTTAATTGCAGGGTTTCAGAGATGTAGATATCCTATATTCTGTACTTTAAATGTCTTTTTGAATTATCAAAAGACTAAAACTATGTTGATAGAGGATTTCTGTTAATAGCTGCTGTTTATTAAAGTCAAACACTGTTTCAGGTGCTTTACATATATAAGTAGATTAATTAAATTCTGACAAAAGCCCTTGGAAGAAAATATCCTATTTTGTACATGAAAAATGAGGTTCAGTGATGCTATATTGTCCTTAACCACAACCAATAACTTAAGCCTCTTCTGTGGTCTCCAGACACCACACTCCTAGCCACTCAACACTCTGATCCTTCCAAGTTATCCTTTAATCAACAAATCTACCATGTGATCAGTATTTCAGAACCTTGACACAAAGAATAAAACACGAGAAACACCAAATCATGTAATGATGAAAATTACCATAGCAGTAGCAATTTTTAGAAATGTCCAGAAGTCCCTGAACAAGGGGAATTTAATCAACACATTTGGGGGAGCAGGGTCTAGACTCAAATCTAGATATTCACTTTTTTTAATATAAAATTAAAGCTGCTTCTTCAAGAAATTCCAAAAGAGGGATCTTAAAGATATTCTATGGTCTGGCAAGACGTATACAAGTATATGAGTCAGCTTTGATTTCGAGAAATGTGGACCTGCTTCTCACTGGTCCCAGAGCTGCCCCAAGTGCATGAGCACAGCCAAGTCACCATTCTCTAAGCTGGTGCGATCACCTGCAAAGTAGACAGATTCCTTCCTAGGAGTGTTATTTCTCAGAAAGGAACACACAAAGCAGTCAGGTGTTTACCCAGCAAAGGGTGGAGACTTAGAGGGGAGGGAAAGCAGAAGTGTATAAGCAGGGGGCAGTGTCACCCACAGGACACTGTAACACCCAGGTTTACTAAGTGCAACCTTCATGGTAAATCACCAAACGGCCAGCAACAACATTTCAAATTTGATAGCACCTAAAGTTCTCAAAGCCTGGTCCCAAGACCATCAGCATCAGCACTATCTGGAAATGGCTCAGAAGGGACAAATTTCAGGATTCATCCTGGACCTGCCGAAGGAGGGGCTCTGGAAGCAAAGCCCTGCACTGTGAGTTTTAACGAGCCCTCCACACAATTGTGATGTATGCTGAATTTGGAGAACCAGTAACACTGTGGGCTGAAAGCTCAAGTGATGGAATCAGACACACTAGAATTTGAAGCCAGAGTCAAAGACGAATATATCTGTGCAATTGAGGGTACTGGTTAAATCCTGGCTAACTGTGGTGATGACAGGGGAGGAAGGAAACATCTTTTGAGCTGGGAAACACTTAAAGTGGTAAGAAGTGTAGAGTGGAGATGGCATGGAAGCAGCTCGGGAAAGGGTTTGAGGACCTAACCTCAGCCACACAGCAGTTCCAAGCTCCCGAACCAATCGCTATGCCCTTTTGTCTAAGGACTGGAACCTGTCCGGGGGCTCAGAGGCAACTTGGGGCAGACAGCAAATGGTTTGAAAGTCCCGGAGTCTGAAAGTAGTTAGGGAGGTAGGCACCAGCTTTAAGAGGCTGCTGCTAAAGGGTAACATGAAGGCACCATGGACAGTCATGGCCTTCTCAAAGCAATAGGAGAGTCCTAGGCTGTCAGGCACATAATGGCAGAGGCAAACACTAAAGAAACTACGGGCTGGTAATGGTAAGGAACAGGAGGTAAGACAGAACGGATGAAAAACACAAGCTGCGGGGCCCCTGGGTGGCTCAATGGGTTAAGCATTCGACTCTGGCTCAGGTCATGATCTCGCGGTTCATGAGTTCAAGCCCCACATCGGGCTCTGTGCTGATAGCTCAGAGCCTGGAGGCTGCTTCAGTTTCTGTGTCTCTCCCTTTCTCTGCCCCTCCCCCACTCGTGTTCTGAATCTCTCAAAAATAAATGTTAAAAAAAAATTAAAAAAAAAAACCACAAGCTGAAATGCCTCCTTCACCATTAGTTTGAAAACACAATCCACAGCCAAATTATTCCAAAGACCAAGTCCAAAGAAGGAATAGGAGTTTGAACAAACGCCAAGAGAAAAATTGACTCGAGGCCTCCTACTGTGTCAAAAGCTTTGCTTGTTGACAAGAGAATTATGTTGAGTTTGTGGTGAAAAACTTCCAAGTCCACTCTGATTTCTTCAACAGAGATTCAGAGCCTGAGTTGCTTTGTTTTCTCAATAGAACACATCCAAGGCACATGCCCACAAGACAAAGGGCTATGGTCCTCAGGGCTGAGAGGGGTCCTCACTTGTTACCCACCTTCCCGTGCCCAACCACTGGCTATTTCCCCCTGCAGCACACAGCACCGTGGAACCTTGTGTGAACTCCAAGGCCTGTTAATTTTGCCTTCGCCAGATGTTATATGTTCAACCTCAGTGAATCCAAGCTTTTGTTACCTCACAGACTATTTGCATTTTTCTTTTTTAAAGAACTGTTAATTGCAGAAACATTGGGAATATACCAATCATGTGGTCATATTTGCTTTCTGATTGCTACCTGTTTTTAAAGAGAAATTATAGATTTATCTGAAGTCCCAAACCATCCTTCTTTCTCTCCCTAACTATGTTCACTTCCTTATAGTTCCCATGCATATTTGATTATGTTTCTTCACCTCCTTGTATCTATAAACAACATATTCTGTTTCTCTTTGTGTGTATTTTTAAATTCAACAGGTTCATTTTCTGAAACGTCTTGTTTCCTCTGTAAAGCACTTCTATGTTTTCATACGTTTAAATTTGTGCCCCATCTAATGGACACGAAATGCTATACCCTTATTGATTTTGCATTTGGTTTACTTACGAGACTGAATATTTTTCCCTATCTTTATAAGTCAGTCGAGTTTCCTCTTTTCTCAAGTACCTATTGCTATCCAGGGTGATCATTTCCTTAGTTTTTTCTTTTCTTAATGATTTCTGGATATTAATGTGTTGTTTGTAGTGTGCTTTGCAAATATGCAAATTTCCTCTTCCACACTGTGGAGCTTCACTCTTATTTTGGTAATAGGTTTCGCCCAATATTTTAATTTCAATAAATATAGGTTTATCAACCTGTAGAACTCTTATCACCCAGCATCAGTAATAGAGTATTTTGATTACTATAGCTTTGTAAGAAATTGGGTATTTATGTGAGTCCTTCAATTAGCCTTCGTCATTCTTCAGGCTTGACTGGTACATGTTACTTTTTGATGGTTATATTGACAAATACATATAATCTTATACGTTTTTTGTTTTTACTCACATATGATTAACATACAATATCCTGTTAGTTTCAGATGTACATCATAGTGATTCAGTATTTTTACAAATTACAAAATGAACCCCACTGTAAGACCATCTATCACCATATAAAATTATTACAATATTATTGACCATATTCCCTATACTATGTTTTACATCCCATGACCTATTTACTTGATAACTGAAAGCCTGTATCTCAACCTCCTTCACCAATCCAATTCAACAATTCCACTTCTGGGTATTTAATGGAAGAAAACAAAAATACCAATTCAATGAGATGTAGGCATCCCTATGTTCACTGCAGCATTATTTATAATAGCCAAGATATGGAAGTGATCCAAGTGTCCATCGATGGATGAATGGATCAAGAAGATGTGGTGTATATGTACACAATGGAATATTATTCAACCAAACACAAAAAAGAATGAAATCTTACTATTTGCAACAACATGGATAGATCTAGAAGATATTATCACTAAGTCAGAGAAAGACAAATATGATTTCACTTACAAATGGAATCTAAACAACGAATGCACACACAAGACAAACTCACAGATACAGGCCAAGATCCACAGATACTGTGGATTACCAGAGATGGGAGGAGTTGGAGGGTAGGCAAAACAGGTAGGAAGAGGTTAAGAGGTTCATATACATTTTAAAATTAGGTTTTCTCATTACTTGGTATGTGGGATTTGGATTAAAATTGAACTGCATTTTATAGATGAAAATGAATTGCTATTATGACATTTAGTTTTCCTGTACATTAATCTAACAAACCACTCCATTTATTCAGATCTTGACTTAGCTCTTCAATGAACTTTTATCATTTTATTGGTTAGATCTTGGAGCTTTTTAGATACCTCTATTCATAGGTAAATCATACTTTTTATTCTAAAAGTTGTTTTTGTTTTTTGTTTTTTTTTTTGTTTTTGAGAGAGAGAGAGGTCAAGTGGGAAAGGGGAAGAGGGAGAGGCAGGGAGAGAACCTCAAGATGTCTCCACACTCACTGTGGAGTCAGAGGCAGGGCTCAATTCCATGACTGTGAGACCATGTCCCAAACCAAAATCAAGAGTCACACGCTCAAATGACCAAGCTACTCAAGCATCCCAAAGGTCTCTCCTTTTAAAAATTACATTTTCTTTTTGTATGTATGGGAATACTATTTGCCATATATATATAAATAGTATTTTGTTTTCCAGCCCTGCAGGTGAGTATGAATACTATTGTTTTGGACCTAGGTGGTGATGAGCCATTATATGTTTATCTTTTTTCTAGGAGCCCTGATAATATTAACTCTAAGAAGTTTCTCTGCCAACCAAGTGGATTATATATGCAGATAATTGCATCACCTGCCCAGAGTGATAGTTCCATTTTTTTAGTCTTGCGTTTTCATCTTTTTTCTTATTTTGTATTTTACTTATTATCTGCCCCTCTGCACTAGAATGTAAGTTCCATGAGGGCAGAAATGTTTGTGGTTTTTACATGGCTCTATCCCCAGTGCCTAGAAGGCATGCCATAAATTGCTGAATAAATGTTCCATTCCTACAAGAAACTAGTCATAACTGGCAGTTACATCAAAATACATGTCACGTTGCACTCTGTTTGATTCTGCTAGTTCCAAATTAAGGTGAGAAGGTTTTTAAAATTTTCTTTCCTTCTGTTCCCTAAAATAGCCTGATCCTAGATTAGAGCAGAAATTAATGCTATCGAAACCAAAAAAACATTACAACAGATCAATGAAACCAGAAGCTTGTTCTTGGAAAGAATTAACAAAATTGATAAACCACTAGCCACTTTGATCAAAAAGAAAAAAGAAAGGAGCCAAATAAATAAAATCAAAAACAAAAGAGGGGAGATCACAACCAACCCAGCAGTAATAATAATAATAAGAGAATATTATGAGCAATTATATGCCAATAAAATGGGCAATCTGGAAGAAATGGACCAATTCCTAGAAACATATACACTACCAAAACTGAAACAGGAAGAAAAAGAAAATTTGAACAGACCCATAGCCAATAAAGAAATCAAATTAGTAATCAAAACTCTTCCAAAAAACAAGAATAGAGGGCCGATGGCTTCCCAGGCGATTTCTACTAAACATGTAAGGAAGAGTTAACACTTATTCTCTTGAAGCTGTTCCAAAAAATATAAATGGAAGGAAAACTTCCAAACTCTTCCTATGAAGCCAGCATTACCTTGATTCTAAAACCAGAGACCCCACTAAAAAGGAGAACTATAGACCAATTTCCCTGATGAACATGGATGCAAAAATCCTCAACAAGATATTAGCCAACCGGATCCAACAATACATTAAAAAAATTATTCACCACAACCAAGTGGGATTTATACCTGGGATGCAGGGCTGGTTCAATATCCGCAAAACAATCAATGTGATTCATCACATTAATAAAAGAAAGGACAAGAACCATATGATCCTCTCAATAGATGCAGAGAAAGCATTTGACAAAAGACCGTGTCCTTGCTTGATAAAAACCCTCAAGAAAGTAGGGATAGAAGGAGCATACTTCAAGATCATAAAAACCATATATGAAACACCCAACGTTAATATCATCCTCAATGGGGAAAAACTGAGAGCTTTCCCCTACCGTCAGGAACAAGACAGGGATGTCCACTCTCGCCACTGTTATTCAACATAATATTGGAAGTCTTAGCCTCAGTAATCAGACAACACAAAGGAATAAAAGGCATCCAAATCGGCCAGGAGGAGGTCAAACTTTCACTCTTCGCAGATGACATGATACTCTCTATGGAAAACCCAAAAGATTCCACCAACAAACTGCTAGAACTGATCCATGAATTCAGCAAAGTTGCAGGATATAAAATCAATGCACAGAAATTGGTTACATTCCTATACACCAACAATTAAGCAACAGAAAGATAAATAAAGGAATCTATCCCATTTACAATTGCACCAAAAACCATAAAGTACCTATGAACAAATCTAACCAAAGACGTGAAAAATCTATACACTGAAAAGCATAGAAACCTTATGAAAGAAATTGACACAAAAAAATGGAAAAAGATTCCATGCTCCTGGATAGGAAGAATATTGTTAAAATGGCTATACTAACCAAAGCAATCTACATATTCAGTACAATCCCTAACAAAATAACACCAGCATTCTTCACAGAGCTAGAACAAACAATCCTAAAATTTGTATGGAACCAGAAAAGACCCTGAATAGCCGAAGTAATCTTGAAAAAGAAAACCAAAGAGGAGGCATCACAATCCCGGACCTCAAGCTGTACTACAAAGCTGTACTCATCCAGACAGTATGGTACTGGAGTAAAAACAGACATTTAGATCAGTGGAACAGAATAGACAACCCAGCAATGGACCCACAAACAT